CGTGGATTTTATAAAGCGTTTAAAACTTATCAAGGACAAAATTATGGTAGCCCCATGAGTCAGTTTTTTTAACATATAATAAATAATTTGGCTACAATTTTTTAATTAATATTAATATATACTATAGTCGTTGATAAATTTTATCAATATTCGTCGAGATAACGGAACGTACGATGAAAAATGAGTAAAAATAATTGGTGTATTATTTTCACATTGACACTATACTAAAATTTTATCTTTTATAAAAATGACATCAAAAGTATTGTTATTATAAATTAGAAAACGATGATAAAACGAATCTAACCATCATTATTGTTATGGTGCATAACATCTAAAGTCATCAAACATTGTATTTTATAAAATGTATAAACTTCTCAACTAAGAAGTAAACCCAAAATTTAATCTGTGAATATGATAGAATAGGCCCTTTTTGATCATGTTCACGGATTAAATATAAACGTCTGATGACTTTAGATGTTATACACCATATCTAGTACGTACGTAACTTTATCTGGCATACAGTGAAAAATATTCATTCTAAAAAACTTTAACAAAGAAACACTAAAAGTTCAAGAGAGATATGATAGAAAAATAAATAAAAATAGTAAAAACAGCAGTATATGTGTATAGATTAAGTTTGAAAAACACTACAAACATGACTAAAACAAGAGCTTAATCTCGACAACCTTTCGAATCACAATTGGGAAAAACGGGCCAAAACTATACTATACAACTACGTAATAGTATTAAAACGAAATTAGAATACCTATAATTATTGTTCTCGAAGGAAGTATCGGAAAACAACCCAACTATAAAAAATACTAAATATATCGAAATTAAAAAATGTGTTTACGGTAGAAAATATTCAATCAGTAATTGTCATAGTAAATGAACAGCTCATTTGACCATGCGAGTCTCCGGACTATTCAGTAATTCGCCTCGAATGGTAATAACGTAAATGATTATTCAACGATTCACATAATAGCGTCTTTTTTATTGTAGTGCTTCATCATGTAGATTTTATTCAAAAAAAACTTAATATACATACCTTCATTTCGTCAAGATCTGTAATTTTAGAAGAGTAGAATCTGTTTCACTACCAAAAAAATTAATATTAAATAGTCTGGAACATACAAATTCTTTCTTCCATTTTATACTCAGCAAAATCCACACTATCGCAAATATGGCAAGAAAAGTCATAATGATAACGATAACCAATTATCGTTATATATAGCACATATACATTTTACGCAGAGATTCCGAATACAGTAATCCGACTTCGGTGCGGTGCTTGTGTCGAGTCCAAATTCAATCTAAATCCGAATACGTAACATGCAAAGAAGACACATTCACAACTTGTACCGATAAATTTAAATACTTTATTAGCATTATCATTACGTGGTTATAATACGTAACGGTAATCATTTCTCTTTATTTTTTAAGTGTATCTAATTTTCATCAAATATTCAAAGCTTTTATGCTGATATAAAAAGGAACAAATAGCAACATAATCTAACCACAGTATATGTATGTATTGTTTTCAATTCTTCAGCAAATAAATTATTTTAAACTTACACGTTTTCTTTTACATTATAATTTATCAATATGAATTTTAATATTTACACAAATGAATTTCTTTTACAAAAACATCTGGTCAAAAGCTTCTGTAGTTGATTAAAATGTAATGGTAAAGGTAACGGTAACTGCAAAGAATACATGTATCGATATTTTCTGTGTATGGATAAAGAAAAAGGGTCGATAAAAAAGCAATTATCATAGAGAGTATGTGCATGATGTGGCTAAAATAAACAAATGCTTGCAATGAAATAACCCTGCACAAGTTTACGTAATTTAGAAAACTTTGTTACATGTATGTATTACACATGTATACATATGTATGAACATGTAAAAGAAACAAAGAAAGAGAATATATCATAGAAAGTGTAGAGTCAGATTCTTATATAAACAATCGCAAGAATTGTTTTGCTTTTAGCATTTGTACCTTAAAATTAAACCTTTATCGAAACAAGTTACTGGATATTGTCTCAAGATTTAAATTTGAAAAAATGCTCTCCAAAAATTTCGTCACCCTTTTTCAACTGTTTTTCGTCTTGATGATATTCATATGCAATAATTTTGTTGTTACTTCATTGCCAATTATAAGAGAGTAAGTTAAGACGAAATTTAATTGTTTTAGTTTATGCACTTTTAGGATAATATTTATGTGTTACAAGCATTTTTGTAGTTGCTCATGGGGATGGGACCGGAACTGCAATTCGATCTGGGGTAGTGAATCGGAAACAGGTGGGAAGGGTTGGAAATAGTCAATACATTTATTAGAAATTGATCATGATCATATTTCTTTATTATGTTAAATTTCATAAAAAATTGACATACTCAATTTTCTTGTAATAAAATAATAGTTTTATTCTTTTTATGGAGCCAGGCTTTTTAATCTCATTTTAAACCAATAGACGAAAAAATATATACAAACTAAAATAATGTCGCATAATGTCAGTTTTTAATTTAATAGTATAATCCAAAAACCGCACTGTTTATACAAGAACGATAAATCATCACTAGTGCTCCAACCGGGTCGGGTCCAATCCGTGACCTGACCCGGAACGCACATCTCGGGCGGGTCGGATTGGGCTCAGCCTAAAAATCGTTGTTTCTCGTTCAATATTAATTGAAATTAAACGAAAATTTGTGAATATATACACAATTACATTCCGAACAACTCTACTTAGGACACAAAATACAAGTATCTTAGTGAAAATAAACGTTATTAACGAAAAGCTATTTTACAAATTTTGGGTCAAACCCGACCCGAACAGAGCTTTAATCATCACCTTTATTTTAGTTGCTTCACCAATGAATGAAAATTTCTAAATTCAATTATAAATTTTCAACAAATTTACAGATATTGTTGTGCTTTTGTTAAGTTGAGAAGAATTGAGTGGTTTCTAACGCAACAAGACTTTGGGAGAGATTATTAGACTGAGTGATGTTTGGTTCGGTATCTAGAGTCTGTGTTGATATCTATGGATATCGTTGATTATGTTGATTTTGGAGGGTGGGGAGAGTGAGACTATGCTTTTCAGGTGAGTGTTCGAGAGATTCTTTTATTATTGCTTGTTATAGATAAAAGTCTTAAACTCTTAAAAATATTAATAACAATCATTGCTTTTTCTAGACAAAAGTCTTCGACTCTTAAATAATAATAATGAAATTATGATCACACAAAAACAGTTTTTTATTAACAATGCGATTCTACATAAAACAATACCTTTTCTAGTACAAAGAACTTAATTAACAATCAATATTATGATTAATATGGGGAAAATGGAAAAGAGTTTTACAAGTGATAATTTACTTAGATTAAGAATAATTGTATGCAATAATTCAAATTTAATTTTGTTTGGAGAATAATTGTAAAACTAAACTTAAGACAAGACTAAACTAAGAAAAAACTTAATCAAAAACTACTTCCAACTTCAAAATAAATCAATTAATATAACTAAACTAAATAAACTTAAAACTGAACCAAGAAACTTAAATTAACCAAGAGAACTTCAAATAAGAACAAGAGAACTTCAAATAAAAACAAGAAAACTTAAAATCAAACTGAGAGAACTTGAAATTTATTAATTATCAATACTTGTATTTATACATGTTTTCATGTTATAATAACACAATATGATACAGTAATGTATAATAATACAGTAGATCTATATTATTACTATAAAATTATTAGTTTCCTAATTACATGAAAAGCTAATTATATTATAATTAATAATCTTGTTCTATACTAAAGTATCTATAGTAAAAATAGAAAATAGAAGTTAAACAAATATAGAAATTGATAAATATACCAAGAGAATTACATAATTAATATATTTAATTTAAGATAACAATAAACTAAAAATAGAAAGTTATGAAATAATGAGAAAGAAAAAAGAAATAGAAAGAAAAAGAAAAAGAATATTTTTGATTTAAATATATTATTATAGTAATAACAGTAATTTCATAAATTTAAAGAAAATTTTGAATTTGAAAAATAATTGAAAATATTAACAATTCTCTAAAAAAATAGTAAACTCTAAAAAATAACAAAAATAATTTATTGGATATTTATTTCATTATTTTTTATCACTTTTCATTATTTATTATTATTATTCATTACTTTTTATCATTTTTCATCATTTTTTATTATTTTTTATCATTTATTATTATTATTTTTCATTACTTTTCATCATTTTTCATTATTTTTTATCAATTTGATTATTCTCTATTATTATTATTTATTACTTTTCATCATTTTTCATTACTTTTCATTATTTTTTATCATTTTTCTTTAGTTTAATTATTTCTTTTTATTTTTTTTATAATTTTATTATTGATTAGATAGTTATTATTATTTGAAATTATATTTTTGAAAAATATATAAATAATGGTGCTGTCTGAGTCTTAACTCAACATGTTATAAAAATCTCTCTTAACAAAAATCTTCTTCCACATATTTTTCACCTTTCATATTTTTTTATACACTTCAAATCTTGTGTATAAGTAATTTTATATCATATTAAATCTATTAAATCACTGGCAGCTTTATATCATATTGTGCTGAGCAAATTACTATTATTAACTTTGAACTTTAGATCATATTGTGTCAAAAAAATTGCTGTGATTGGATTATTGAGCTTTATATTATATTGTGTAGAACAAATTGTTGTATCAGAATTATTGAATTGGATTATAAGTATTTTACTTTTTTGTTATTTGAATTTTTAATTGTTACAAATATTCTTCACTTATGAGAAGAACAAAATGAAAGAATCTTTGTTATTATTATTACTAATTATATTATCTTAGCTCTGAAAAGCTTTATGCAAATACAAAGAATCACTCTTTTTAAATCTTTTTTATTATTCTTTTATATCCTCTTTTCCCTTTGATCTTTAGTGGTGGCTGACAATACATGAAACCTAATCAATGTATTACAGGTAAACAGAGTGAGTATCTATTCCGGCCGCCCCGCCACAGACGAGGAAATCGTATTCTATCTTGGAAGCGATTTGACCTAGTGACTGGATAACGTTTTTATTGAATACATTCAATGCTTCACAAGTATCTCGTTCCTTTAATGGCATTTCTGGTTTGGTAGTTGTCTTTTCTGATTCACAAATTTCTTTAGTTTCTATGTTCTGCAAGATTATGGACAAGGCCTCCTCAAATGATACTTGGGCATACAAGAAGCAAAGGTTAGCAGTTGTAAAAGGACTCAACGATAACGTGAATGTATTTTTTCGGCGGTGTTTGACGATAAGAAGCAGAAAAGAAAGAAAAGCACGAGATTAAGTATTTGATACTATTAACAAATATGACACAGCGCAGACGAGAATGAAGCAACGGCTCAAAAGTTAAACCACATTCTTTTATATTTCTATGCATGAGAACATACCAGGATTTAATAACCGCCTCAAATATTTAAGCTTATCTTAATCGTCTGGAATGTATTTGAGGGATACATCCATCAGCTAATTTATTATTATTATTAGTGAAATATTCGAATAAGTTAATCACTTCTTCGCGAGAGAGTTTAGTGTCATCACCGATGGTGGAAAGGCGAGAAACCACTTCATAGACATTTTCTTTTGTAGCAGAGGAGATGAAGTGTCTTCCATGTAGGTTTTGTGCAAAAAATAGTTCCACAGGTTGTCCGAAAAAAGAAAATTTTTTAGAGATTCGAGTTACGTCGTCGGACGATCCATAAATTAAACTATTTCGTGATTTGATTTTTGAACCACTCCGATCCGGAAGTTAAACGTTATTCGGAAATTTAAGAACGTGATTCCAAGGAATAGATTGTATTTTCATAATATGCTTTTAGTACAACATCAAGTGTTCTTTGACATAATCGCATAGCAAATAATAAAAAACAATGATATGCAAAATGATTTATGGCACTTCATGCCTGCGCTTCACACGTGAAATAGAGGGTGTTCTGAGCCAGAACGGTATCACGTGAAATGGCAATCTGATCTCGAACAAAGTGACTGACAAACACACACCGTAACTTATTATGAGTCAAAGACTCCTTACTTTATAAGCTCGCGGGGGGGGTGAACTTTTCTATAATATATTTAACCTCATCTCCAGTTAAATCCGAAAAGCTAGATGCAGTAAACGATTTAATCCGCCAAATCTTATCTCCCCAATGTTAGAAAGTTAATTTTCGTGTTCCGTTACATGTGTGAGCTACTGTATATGAATTGATTTCGATTCTTAGCAAATAAATTATTTTAAACTTACACGTTTGCTTTACACTTTATGATTTATCAATATGAATTTTAATACATACACAAATGAATTCTTTTTACAATAACTTCTGGTCAAAAGCTTCTGTAGTTGATTAAAACGTAATGGTAACGGTAAAGAATATATCGACATCTTCTGTGTATAAGGATTAATAAAAAAATCAATTCTCATAGAGAATGTGTGCATGAGGTGGCTACGTAAATAAAAAAGCAGATGCTTACAATGAAATACATGCACATGTAACTCTGCACAATTATACATAATTTAGGAAATTTCTAGTACATGTATTACATATGTATGTAAAAGAAACAAAGAATTATTATCGTTATTGAAAGGAAAATATCTTCATAGAAAGAGTAGAGTCAGATTCTTATATAAACAAGCTTTGCATTTAGCATTTTGTGCCTTAAATTTTAAAAAGTTACTGGATGTTGTCTTAAGATTAAAAAAATGCACTCCAAAAATCTCGTCCCCCTTTTTCAACTGTTTTTTGTCCTAATGATATTCATATGCAATAATTTTGTTGTTTTTTCATTGCCAATTAAAAGAATGTAAGTTAAAACGAAATTTTATAATGTTTTAATTTATACAATTTTAGGGTAATATTTATATGTTACAACCATTTTTGTAGTTGTTGGGACTGCGATGATTTCTGGGGTCTTGTTACAGGTCGGGTGCAAAGTGGGGGAAGTGGGCAAAACTGGCGAAACTCTGCGATCGGTCGGCAGTAATGGCCTTGTTAGAAATTGATCATATTTCATTATTGTGTATTTTAATTTTTATAAAACTGCTAGTGAACAAATTTTCTTGACTTTGACAAATGAGCATACATCAATTAATTCTAAATATAATTGACCTTCGAAATTGTGTAATATAATAATAAAATTTTATCCTTCAGTCTTTCAAATGGCATTTTAGACGAAAAAAAAGATTTCGATATACAAACTAAAGTATGTCAGTTTTTCAATTTAATCGTTTAATCCAATACAGTCTGACGTCCCTGTAATCAAACTCTCGGGATATGAAAAATTGTGATTAGAAAGAGGTTGTGACTACATGGAGGTCAAATTTTTATGCTTCATAACTGAAAAAATGTCACTATATATTGATTTTGTAATTACATGTACATGTATTATACGTATAATAAACTTTATTTATATCGAAAAAATAATGTAATATTGACTAAAAATGCTCTTTTTATATTCTTTCTATTATAAGACAAACAAATAATATATTGTAGTACCTCCATATAATCACATCCTCAAAATAGAAAAAATGTGACTTTGAAAAAATTATGATTATATGGCAGTGTTAGCAAATGACCAATTACATGTACTAGTCATTTCAAAAGTTAATAACCCATGATCTAGCAATTGATATCATACTTTGTGACGTCATTATAAAAATAAAGTATAAATAAAAATGACTCTATCTGTTAAAAGCATACATAATCACATGACAAATGATCAAATGATTTGGTCATTTTGAGTTCATTTGCAAAATGAGCAAATGACCTGGTCCTTTGCCATCACTGCTGCATGTATTCAAATTTTTTATGCTTCACAATATGTAGCTAGAAGTGGGAACAAGTGTGATTATATCACTAAACAAAAAGGAATAATTTTGAGACTTTACCAAATTCTTAATATATCGATATATTAGACAGTAACGGTAAGGCAAATCGTCATACTAATTTTTTAATCACAATATTGCTATAATTTCGTATTGATATACATCCTATAATTTTTTTTTAGTTACTTTATTTAATTTTTTTTAGGGCGTTTCTGAATTTTATCAAAATATTTTTTCTTACCCTATAATTGCAATTATCAGTAAAGTATATTTTATGCGTATAAACTGCAATTATCAGTATATTTTGTACGTATAAATTTTTAATAAAACTAGACATTCATGACATAAACACAACACATTTTTTCTGTTATTTAATATTCTGAATGGTAGAAACACTTCAAAACCACTTACAGTGGCCGTCAAATGTTTTGCATCACACAAAAAATAAAATTTGTAAATTCAATAACATTACATACAAACATCTGAAACTCACAAATTCCGACGCATATTGTTTACAAATGTTGCAAAACATGTAAATATAATTCTTTATTTAGTTAATAATCACTATGTACGTAAATTGAAATAATAATGATCGATGCAATTTAACATGATGCGTTTTTTTTGACTGTTTACGATGCAAATAATTTAAAACCGATATTTAAATAACTAACGACTAAAAATTTACGAAATTTAAATAAACTATTC